GTCTTTTTAGATCGGACGTGGCTTCGTTCAGATAAGTTAGGTACCAATTTACCAACCCATAAGAAATGAGAGGCTGCATTGGCCACCATGAGGTCGCACTCACGATATCGATTAACAGGAATACAGGTTAGAGAGAGCAATAAACATGAAATATACCTTTTCTGTATATAGCGAACATTCTTCACGAATGTTGGAATGTTTTCTATGTAAATCAATTATAACCTTTCCAAACATTTCAAATGCTTCTTCCATGACCTTTTCTCCATGACGATCTGATAGCCGTATGTCTAACATTTCGCTGGCGCCTATATCGTAAAATATATGCACTTACGGTCTTAGGCTTTGAATATCGCCCTATCAGATCGCAAGGCTTGAGAAATGTTTCCAGCACCCGTCTTTCTGCCTACTGTAGCCCGACTCCGCCTACTGTAATCTGACTCCGCCCAGCGCAAAGGTATAAAAACGGCTCCACGGTTAGCTAGCTCATGTCACAGCAATACTGCCCAAGTCACCGCATTCGTGCCTCACCTCCATCTCATGTAGTAAAAGTCATATGCCAACCTCTTCATTCATAAGCAGCCTGAACACCAGTGATCAGGCTGCGTCTATTCATTGCCCGTATCATCGTTGCATTAATTGTAGAGTTGTATTGTTATGACTGTTGTATAATTATGATAAACGGTTTAATTGCCCAAGTTCGAGGTATCCGGCATTGTGACTGCTAATCACAAGAAGTCCCGCGTGGCGTACACAAAGGCGAGCAGCTAATTCCGACCGAATTGTCCTAACTACTTGGTATTCCTATACCAACGAGCCGTCCCAACACTGTATTCATCCTTGGACATTCGTAAATATTTACAAAACAGAAATCCACCAAGTTCATTCCGAATATCCTGAAACAGTTTCGAAGAATATACTGTTCGAAATCATCATCTCTATGTATTGAAATAACAAAGGAGGTTCGATTCCGCCAATTATAATTTATTCATAGCTGTGGCCACGGTTTTCCGATGAAGTTTAGCTCTCGCCGTTGTGTGTTTGCTTGAATTTCACACTGAAGTGACGTAATCAAACGTTTAGTTCACATCTTGTATCTGAGGCATTCAATGATCTAAGTTCCTGATTTGACATTATGAAATAGTTGTCATAGTAGGGTTTAAGCACCTACATCACTAGTGCCATTTGTTATCGTACTGATCATCGCCCGATTCCCCAATGGTCGGTCGCCACCATTAGCCAGGAGTGACGAATATTGGCTAATTTCGACAATGTGGGTGAGTAAATTGCTGTCGGTTAAATCTAGAGTAAATTCATGGAAAGCTAATTTGTCTCTAAAGCCTCATTCACTCTTCTCCAAATACTGTAGCTCAGTGAAAATGGGCACCAGAGCTTAGTTTCAGAATTGGACGAAAGATTGTGAAAGGCATGGGAAGCTTACAGGACCGATGCAGTGAGTAGGAAAAATAGCGCGCGTCCATGTGTCCATTTTGTCGACACTGCGATTCTTCTGGCACTTGGCAGAGACTTCGCTCTTACCTGTTCTAATCTCAACGGTTAATGAGAGTACAAGTGATGTACTTCATTGGAGGACTTCCATGTGAAACGTTTATAAGAGAGGTTCTGGAATGGCAAGGCAACTTAGTACGAGTTATCACGCACATTCTAACCAGCTAGAACAGTTTCACATGATGTTCGTTACATTCCAATCAGTGGATCTCTATGCGCTACGTTGTGAATCGCAAACTTAGGCAATCAAATCTTTATATAAATAATATTAAACAGTCATGATATAACGAGATTAACATTGAAGATGCTTTTCTTCCAAAAAGAGATTTACACTAAAGTTTTTTTTAATACGAATCGTCCATATATTTCCTCTGCGAATCCCAGCATTCGATTTGTTTCCTAACATTCATCATCCATGAAGGCCTCCGAACTTTTCGCACGTATGTTCGGCTGCTGATTAGCGATTTTTGTGTTCTCTACGAATGTCGTTGCATGCTTGTGAAGTCGATTCTTCTGGAAGTCCTTGGCCGAGCTAAAGCATTTTCACCTGCACTGAAGGGGTGAACTATTCCCGGAAAAGTCTGGTACCAATTTCTCCAACCCAGAAGGATAAGAGGTTTGGTGAGCTCCAGACGGGGTCGAACCAGCACTGCGTTCGTGAAGAACGGTATCACGAGCACAGTTCTGCAGTAAGAAAACAAGAAGAGGGTGGAAACTGTAAAGACAGAATATAAGCGAATAGAAGGATGAAGCACTTATATTCATTCTCAAGTAGGAGGTAATACGGTGGAACGGTGGTTTTCAGTTAATGTGATAAGTCACGGTGAAGCGTAATGCAGTGTTCCACGTAAAACCTAAACTGGTCATGAATCGCTCAAAGATTATACAAGAGACGACATGTGAACAGAAAGTGCATCAGATAGTGTTGTCTTAAAAGCTACTATAACCTTTATACATTACTTGCACAATTAATGTAACGAAGGTGAGATTATACGTAGAAATAGAGGGCACTCTGGAATAAAGAGAACAGTCTCCTTTACTGTAGAGATCATAAGAGACAGTAAAGGATGTTTAAACTTCGTCTTCGTTGTCGCTTCACATAGTCGACGGAGACCGTCAAAGCCAGTGTTGGTCCGTATCTCATCAACGGTAAAATTCCGATTCCAGAAGTTATACACTCCTAAAAATTAGGGGCTTATGGTTAGTTATTGCTATACCGGATTGTTCCACCTCTTCTACTTACTGTTTGAAAGAACTGTTGTTTTCCGTTATCAAAACAGCGTATATTGGCGGGTATCTTCTCATAACTAATCCGATGATGTCATGCGCGATATTCTTGTCTTACTCAATCACTTACCTAAATTGTGGGTTGTGGGATACTAGCATGCGTGCGCCAAAGGTACAGATTCTCAGTAGAGCCCTTACAGATTTAGGCAGCCTAAAATATCATACAGATTGACTCTTCTCCGCACACCGCCTAACCAAGACTGCAATGTCGGGACCACTTTTAACATCGACGGAGTATAAGCCTAAATGTAGGAGATACATAAATATAAGCTCTCGGCATTAATCAACCCGTGAAGGATGCGCCATGTATCCGACTTCATTAAGTATCGCTGAAGATGATTGAATGCATATGTGGTTTTCACAATAACTCGGAGTGGCCTGTTGATGTATCGAGCCAGTGCTGCTATCCTCTCAGACAGGTTTGGTACCAATTTGCCGACCCCAGAGGGATGGAAGGCTTGGTGAGCCATGGGCGCGGGGATCGATACCATTTGTATTGCAGGGCGCCTCCAACCACTGCGCCACACGCGCCCTCGAGATATATAATAATTTGCATGTTCGCAAGCAAGCACATCCACACACAGGTGCGTGAATATGTCTAGTGAAGTGCAGAAATTGTGTGTTGATTGTGCACAGCAAAAACAAGAAATCCATGTCCTCGTTCAAGCGACGTCTCTTGTAACGTACATTCTGGATTTGATTCCGTGTTTAATCTCCCGATCGTAGACATGGCGGATGGAGATCGACTTCGAATCCCTCAAATTGAAGGCTGGTCGGATTTTTCACCGCAAACCATGCGCCTTCAAACCAACGCATACCGTCCGCTTTGACCACGCTCCCCATTACCAAGATCACTTGTTAAGCAGTTAGTGACAAAAGCTGGGAATCGTTACGTGAGTGATACATTACTATTTGCGCAATAGAGGCATTTCACTACACTCCTCACTGTTCGTTGGCAACAATTTCTATAACGGGATGAGCAATCCATTCGCAAAGCCTTCCTGTAAGGTACAAAGCGTTGGAAAACCCATGTGATGAAGAAGTTGCCTATTGAATAGAAGAAAGATAGTAAAAAACATGCGGAAAAGAAGAGACGGAGAGGAAATGCATTGAAATTAGTGCGCATTGTCCCCAATGCGTCGGTTGAATTCATCACTTTAAATGATTTATGCAACCAACATAGTCAAAATGTAACATTTTGGTGCTCTGCTCAGGTCTTCCGGAAATATAATACGCCCTCCAACCATATTTCCCAGATGAATCTGGATTTTTGAAAGCATTTAATCGGTAAAGTCACATATTCCACGCGGATTTGCAGAAGTCGCAATGTTCCGCACATTTTTTCAGTGATGAGAGTAGACTGCCAACAACATGGTGTAATGGGACCAGTTTTAGCCAAATCTGAAATCTCTGGATATTTCATCCTGATTGTTTGGATGGATTACTGATCCTGGAAAGTCATGAGTCACCGAATTTCCCACTGAACCCAAATTTCGCCTTACGTTGACGCTGTTTATTCGACTAGGTTGTTCTAAGCAGCCTATCCACCGTCAAAATTCGGTTCAAACGTATTCGACGCTACATTAAACGAATTCGCTTCAAGTTCATGGCGTCGATGCTAAGAGTATCTTTTTCTCTTTGTCAAAATCAATTTTTACCTTTCAATCTTTTTCTCCTCCCAACGGTTTACCACCTCATCGTGGCTGAGAGATGTTCCTGGATGTCGGGCTACTATGTATAGCGGGGGGATTCATTCCCCCTGCAGGGTCTCACAAGCTGAGAAAGAGTCCGACGTTTTCATCAGGAAGCCTAGGCAAGAGTAAACCAATACCAGGATCCACCACCGCCGTGGTATCAAACAAGGCACATAGTAGCAAATCTCCCTCTGATCCACAAGGGCGCCGACTGCCTGTGCTGGTGACGGCCTGGAGCAAACTTTGGCAAGGCTGACCTCGGGACTCCAGGGAACCACAGTGAATAAGCCAGCAAAACTTCGAAAAACTGGAGATTGTGCTGTAGCCCTCACAATTAGTGAGGATGGGCCATCCAAGTATCCAAGTGAGAAGGTAATCTTCGTTGTTAAAATTATAAGTTGCCAACATTTTCCACTGTTCCCAAGGAAATATACCAGTTTTTTTTCTGTGGGAATCGAATAGATCTTTCGATAATATAAGTTTGGTTTTCAGAGCGCTGAGTCGGATGCTCCGTTGAATTTTGATGATGAATGGGTGAAAATTCATAAAATTGTCTTGGCACTGATCACTCAAGAGGTTTCCTTGACTTCTCTATGCTTTTTGGATGTAGTTGATGTAGAAATGTTTCATCTTAGAGGGTTACCCAGTTGGAATGGCAAGATTTGTTTCTCGCCGTTTACAAAATCCATTCGTGGGTTGATGATGGCAAGAAGAAGCTTCATGCGGCAATCAACCAGAACGTGAGGGAATATGTTCGAGAAGCTAGAGAGGTATTTTTAAATTAACTATAGGCTGTAAATGTAGTGTAGAAGTGAATATTGACTTTATGATAGCTTGAGGGGTGCGTGTAACGCAGTGTTCGCAGGCATCCCTCAAGCTATCATAAAGTCAATATTCCTGCAAAACATATGGGATCGATCTCCGCACCCAGACCCACCAAGTCCTCATCGCCCCGGGGTCGCAAATCAGTACCGTGCTTGTTTGGGAGGATAGCAGCACTAGCTCCATACATCAGTAGGCCACTGCGACATTGTAAAGGCCAGATATGCATTCAGTCACCTCCAGCGATGTTTAATGAAGTCGAATGCATGAGACATCAGGGATTGATCAACGCCGAGGGCTTTATCCTTTATGAAGGAATATGTTTGTCCGCAATCATTCCGTTCTTGTGTTTTTTTCGAAGGTACATCAAGCAAGTGTGTTTTTCTTGATCTTTTTTTTCAGTTTGTTTACAAGACATATTTAAGTTATTCTTTTAGCGCATAAACTGCTATATGGAGCGAGGTGACCAAGCATTGTTGAAAGCGTACATAAATGAATGGACCAAATTTTACCAGCAGACAGCTATTCTCCCACTGCCATTCATGGTGAGACAGTACAGTTAATTTTAATATTAGTTGTATAAATCATACATTTCTTCGTAATTCTTCGTCGTTGTCCCTACAACGTCAAGTTGCTTTAAGGCAATTGATCCTGAGACCGCTCCTCCTGCCCCTCCTCCTTCTAACAATGAGGGTCGTGTTTCGAGACAATACAGGAGTAAAACAGTGCGGGAAGTGAGTGATGTCATGATGTTAGGAAAACAGATATTATTTGCTTACCATAGGTTTTGTTTAGGAGATGCTTGAGACATGGAAGAAAGTTGTTTTTCAACACATAAGTTTAAAGTTGCTTTCGGCTGCTCTTCGACTTGTCGAAACCGAACGAAACGGTGAAACCATCGATGCTCGTTTGGTTATTGGTGTTCGGGAGAGTTGGGGTAGGATGTATTTTCTTCTTCGATAGCTCACAGTAGTGTTTTATTTCCGATTGTTTTCCTTACTAGCTTTGCTGAGTACCTATTTTTTATATTTATTCTTTGTGTAGTCATTTTGTACATGTATTTTCTCCATTTTGTTTTACGGATGTGAAGACTACGACGATATGTATTCTTTCATTGATAAACAAGTTTACTCGGCTGACGTTTCGATGTATAGAGGAGCGTTTAGGGCAGTAGTCTGAGGCGCTCTATAATGCACATGAGATGCTCCACAAGAATACGAAGAATTACACATGAGATAGATCCCCGCTCCCCAGGCTCACCAAGCCTTCCATCCGTCCGGGGTTGGCAAATTGGTAGTATACTTGTCTGGGAGCATAGCAGCACTGGGTCGATACATCGGAAAGCCGCCGGGAGTCTTATAAAAGCCAGATATGCATTTAGTCACCTCCAATAATGCTTGATGAAGTCGAATGCATGGCGCATCCTTCAGGGATTGATCAACGTCGGGAGCTTTATCCTTTATCCCTTAACATTTCGACATTTTCGTCTTCATCAGAGCCGATGATCCGAGTCGATGATCTACAGTTGTTCGTCTTCTCGATATGGCGTCTTCATCTTCGGATCTAGTCGGATGTTCTTCAGTAGAGCATCGTTTGAATAAGGCAACCTCACCCGTCGATGGTCTTTTATACGCGACATCGGTTATAGATAACAGTGATTGTCCGGTGATGAGGACTGATTTTCTCCGGACAATCTATCCTGCAGAAGTCGACATCACCAGCTGTCATGTCTACTAGAACGGTTTAGAATTTTATCATGTTGTTCTCATTGCATCAGTTCCTGTCATTATTTGGTTTTTTTTTCTAGGGAGCTTAACTGTTGTCTCTCTTTTCCCAGTTTTATTTCTGAGTTAATAGCACCTGTTCTAGTGGCACTGTACGACCAACGAGATTGCTATTTCGAAGATGTTCTCGAGCAATACCGAAAGCATTTCGAGCGTGAGTTTGTAGAGGAGACTGTGGCCTACTATAAGAAGAGAGCCGCACAGGTATGCTCGTAGATATCTTTCGAAGAACACTTGTTTTACGCCAGCTAAATAGCCGTTAGTTGTCTGCCTTCCTAAATCACACGGAACGTGCTGTTCATGCATTTGCTTCGTTATCCTGCAACCTTTACATATGATGTCAGTCGGTTCTGTACTCGGTTTGACTGTGGTTTTATGATCTATTGTATTCTGTCCTCATTGGCATCCTGAATGTGGTTGGGATTGTGTTTCCTTGAGTCACATTTCCAGGTCCACTTATGCTGATTGCCGATTATTATGTATCATAATTAGGTTTCTTCTCCTACGAATTGAATCATACAAGAACGACAGGGATTTCTCTAGTCTCTTCAGTAAAATCCTGTGGATGCCAGTAAAGCATCCATGCGATCTTGTTATGCGATAGTACTGATCGCTGTCTTTCGTTTGATTGACAGATTCGAAGAACGTTACATTTTTTGTAATAGGCACTTTACTTTAAATCTACTTGATAGGAAGAAAACTGAGAGTTCGATAGTGGCTGACGTGGCAGATATTCACTTTTACCTCAGCCTCAGAAGTAGAAGTGTTGAGCCCTTCAGATTAGACAACCTCGGTGGGGCGATGAACCTCGATGAACGACTCGCAGAAACAACGGGTACTCGTTCACGCGAAGGCAACATGTAGAGGAAAGGGGTGTTGCTACAACCGTTTATTTTTTCCTTTCTTTCTTTGGTATAATTTTTGACTGACGTGCTCTATTACAGTACTTGGCAGAAAATGGAGTCATTAACTATATGTCGTACGCTGACCGCATGTTAGAAGAGGAAGAACAACGTGCTCGAAAGTATCTCAATCCTAACCCGGAAAGTGTGGCAAGGGTGATTTTCGTAGTTTTATTCTGTTGTCTTCTTACCTTTTTTCTTGTTGCGATGTCCATTCACGATCCTGCATATTTGTGAACTACGTATATTTCAGCTTGTTGAGAGCTGCGTTCAAGTGCTTGTTGTAGAATTCGAGGATCAAATACTTGCTGAGTGTCCTTCATTGATCGCCAGAAACGATGTTGAGAGTACGTGTGGACATATACTCTACTCCTTTTGTGATCTTGTTCAGCTATACACACAGGGGCACGTGTAGCGCAGTGGTCGGAGGCACTCTACAACACAAATTGGATCGATCCACGCGCCCCAGGCTCACCAAGCCTTCTATCCTTCCGGAGTCGGCAAATTGTACCAGACTTGTCTGGGAGGATAACACTGGCTCGATACATCGGTAAGCCACCGCGAGTCATAGCAAAGGCCAGATATGGATTCAGTTACCTCTAACGATGTTTATGAAGTGGAATGCATGGTGCATCTCTCAGGATTTATCAACGATGGAAGCCTTATCGTTTTATACACACACTACTTACGATTTTAAAATTGATCCTATTAATTAGAATTGATTTTTTGACAGAGTTGCGAATGATGTATCGATTAATAAAGTGGACTCCGTCTGGGATAGAAGTTGTATTAAAAGCAGTTGATAACCATATTCGCGGTGAAGGACTGGACGATATGAAGGAAAATGCTTCGACTATCACGACAGTGAGAATGTTTTAGACCTAATCAACTTGAAACGGTTGTCACTTCATACTTCGGATGACTCCAATTTTTGTATTTTCAGGACCCAGAGAAGTATATTTCGCAATTGCTAAGCATGTTTGGGCGATTCAGTACACTCGTTAAGGAAGGGTTTTATGATGATGCCCGGTTATTAACTGCAAGAGATAAGGTTTGACCAGTATCCATGCTTTTTCTTACGGTCTTCACTTACTAGGTTTCTGTTTTCACGAGATGTTAGCAAAACTTCTCTTACTTAGCTCATGCAGTGGCTTTTGTGAGACTATTCTTTTCGTTTTTAAGCAGTACATGTTATTTTGGCTTCGATATTATATTCGTCACCTCTTAGATTTTTATTATAATGATGTTCAGTTATTTGCAAAATTCCGGATCGCAGGTGTTTGCAGTGAGGAACGAACGCGCTATTACGCTTTCTGGGAGCTAACGTTTTCACCACAACACCATGCGGGTCCTTCGTTTCGCCTGTCTCTTAGCTAGTTTTCTATTTAACAGTGCCATCAGCATTCTCCCGTGAATGGGATTCGTCTGGGGAGTCCAAATCGGCAACGAAGATAGCTGAGAGAAAGGCGAGACGAGGAACCCGCATGGTATGGTAGTGAACGTGTTAACCACCGGAAAGGTAACAGCACGTTCATGCCCAATCGCAAACACCTGCGATCCGGAGTTTTGCGAATATCTCAACATCATCGTGGTTGTATCATACATAATACTCTGCCATAAAAAGTCGTAATAGGCTATAGATAAAAAGTTAACATTTCCATTATATTTTACTTCTTAATGGTATTGTGTAAAATATCTCGGAAAAGGCGCTTTGACTCATGTAATTTCTTGTTTTTTTCAGGCTTTCCGAGCACTTGTCAATGATACCACCATTTTTAAAATGGAACTACCCATGGGGAAAAAAAGGTTCGTTTAACAAGTCTCCAGTCTAAATAGAGTTGCGATCCGTCATGTTTTCGCTTCAGTCGAGGTGTAGCAGTTGAGTCGAAGTGTCCAGAACTACTTGCGAACTACTGTGATCTTCTACTACGAAAAACCCAACTGAGCAAAAAGCTCACATCTGAGGAGATTGACGCAAGGCTCAATAACCTAGTAGGTTTAGTAACGTCACCGTTATTGCCTAGTTGGTAATCTAGTTTTCGAACTCTTTGGAAGGTATGTGTTCTTCCTAATCTGCATTTTACTACTTATCCTTTTCGATAAATAATTTATATTGCAGCTTCTGGTGCTGAAATATATCGCGAACAAGGATGTATTCATGCGATTCCATAAGGCACACCTGTCTAGGCGACTTATTCTTGATATGAGCGCAGACCAGGAGAAGGAAGAAGCCATGGTTAACAAGCTAAGAGTACGTGTTCAATTTATGAGATAGGTCTGCCACTTTACGTTGTTTTTTTAATTGAAGAGCGGTCATAACCTATTTGCGTATTTAGCTTTACTGAATTCCACTATTCTTCTGGCACCTCCTATTTTAGGAGTGTGGAATGCCAGCTGAGCTCGTCAATAAACTTTTTCGGATGCTGCAGGACATTGAGGTAAACAAAGACATCAACTCTAGCTTTAAGAAGTCATTGGTCGGTATAAACAACAACAAAACTTTATCAGGTACGTCTTTAGTAGGTTTCCATCCGGACTCGCCGTATTTTGAACCTTTAGACCTTATAAACATAAAGATCCTTAATGGCGGGGCATGGGGACGAGGCGGTGTTGGTGCTGAAAGGGTTCGAGTGTCACTCCCCAGGGAGTTAGAGGAATTCGTTCCAGAGGTAGGACAGATCTTTTATCTTGTAATTCGTTTGCTGTTTCTAAACATTATTGTTAGGTAAACATTTGAGTGGGTGAATGTGATTTTTTGAAGGTTGAAGCTTTTTACAAAAAGCACCACAATGGTAGAAAATTGAATTGGATGCATCATTGGAGCAGTGGAACTGTGCGTTTTTTCTTTCAATATTCATAATTGCTTTTTGTATTTTTTTTTTAAAGAATGGAGTTCATAGTTTTCAGATCATCTTCGGGACTTCTTCCGGTGGTCGATTCGATTTAGATGTGACAACGTTTCAGATGGCCGTGCTTTTCTCATGGAATGACCGTGCTCATGAGAAAATCTCTTTTGAGTCTTTGCGGCTCTCGACAGAACTTCCTGATACAGAATTAGCTAGGACGCTTTACGTAAGTTTAGCTCTTGTCTATTTATAGCTGTGTGGTTCATCCTTATTTTTTTGTTTTCGAAATTTTTGGAGTCTATTTCTTTTTATCATGCAATTTTGCTACAAATGGATATCAGACTGTATTGATAAGTTCGCGCGGGGTTTTAGTTAAAATTTCTACTGTGCCTAACCAATGGGAGCCACCGCGTTCTTTGACACTGCAATGGATCGACCGAATATTCAAAACAGTTGTCTCTTGCGATATGGGTTTTCAAAGTTCCATGGAGACAAGCCCAGTGAAATGGAACACCTCACCAGTTTATGTTAGTTATCATTATCGCTGTGAATGGACGCATGTTGCAGTGGTCGCATGGGCCCTGCAATAAACATGGGATCGATCCCCGCACCGCAGGCTCACCAAGCCTTCTATCACTTCGGCGTCGACAGTTTTGTACTAGACTTGTCTGGGAAGATTGCATCACTGACTCACATATTGGTGAGCCACTGCGAGTCATTGTAAAGGCTAGATATGCATTCAGTCACCTCCAACGATGCTTAATAAAATCTATTGCAAGGCGCATCTCCCAAGGATTGGTCAACGCCGGTAGCTTTATGATTTGTGTTTTTTTTATGGGTGTGAAGAAGGTGATAGCACTGAAACATTAGCCACAGAAAAAAGATTTCTGTGGTGGAATTTATGTAACCTTACCAATGGAAAAAAATATTTAGGTGAGGTTAACCGACATTTAACAAGGTTTTGGAAACAAAAGCTTAGTGTGTTCGTATCAATCAATATTGGTTTTTACTTTATTTCATAGTTTTTCATTGTTTTTCTTCGATTTCATTTTGTTTTTAATACAACGAATTACGCTGATTACTTTTGGAGAACTTTAATTTTAGTCCTTGGTTGCGTATCCTAAAATGAAGTCACAAATTTTACTCTGTGATGCACCATATCCGATTAATCCACATGATTTTACTGATTCGACTATGTTCTTCATCAACCATGATTTCCACCTAATCAAGGTAACTGGATTTTGTTTCATATTTCATTTTGTGAATGTTCGGTAGGCGTGGATTTTTGTTGATAACTAGGTGTATTGATTAGCTTTCCACCGACTGCGCTTGACACGATCTCCATATTGGGTGAGCTATCACTTTAATAGGGCAACGGTATAGTTAAGAAAGTCCGTGTAGCAAAGTAAATAGCGAGTAGGAAGATTTGATTCAATATGTCTTGCCACATGTTCTTTGATATCCATGGGTACTGTCAAGTATGTTGTCAAGAAAGTTTGTTATCAAATTGGTCTGCTTTAGAACGGGAAAAATCAGCTTCGCGGACGCATTAATCTGATTGGTCGGCTGCAGCTGTCGATGGAGTCGACGGCTTCGAAGGAGCATGAGGATATAGTAGCTTTAAGAGAACTTCGCGTGCAAGAAGCAGCTGTTAAAGTGAGGTTATGTTATAAAATTGAATTTTGTGGATAGGAATAATGAGATGTTCTGCTCTTGAGCCGACCCAGGTTGTTAATAACAAGATTTATTCGATATGGACTGATGTTTCGAAGAAGGTTTCCCTTCTTCAGAGTCTGGAAAGATGAAGTTGACTACAATCTAGTTATCCATATACCTCCATAATCTCAATAGAAAAACCAGGATACCCAGATTTCAATGGAATTTGAATCAAAAAAGCTTTTCCACACACGGTTTTTTCTCTCTTCACACAGAGAATTCCACGTGGATCTAGCCATACAGAGATATATTGATGCGTAATGTTTTTTACTTGGATGATTGGATGGCCAGTCTTCACTAGTGCTGTGGGTCTCGGCACAACTTCCATTTTTCGGAGTTTTGCTGGCTAAGCCATTGTGGTTCTCTGGAGTCCCGAGGTCAACCAGGCCAAAGTCAGCCTCAGGTCTTTACCACCACAGGTGGTCACCGGCTTTGCAGATCAGAGGGAGTTTTGCTACCATGCCACTAGTTTGGTACTAAGTTGATAGTGGATCCTGGTATTGGTTTACTGGTAGCTAGGCTTCCTGATGGAGGCGCTGGAATCCTTTGCAACTTGGGAGACCTAGCCAGGGGATGAATCCCCACTGTACATCGCATTCAAATACGCTGAAACTTCTCGCAACTACGATAAGACGGTAAATCGTTATGGAAAAGTGTCTCTGTTGTGTTAAAATATCAGTCTTACATGTGATTAGAGATGTGAGGGCTACTTTCGAGTTCTAATCTGGTAGAGACCTATGTGATTATATTGTAGTGTTCAGATAACCAAATGTTTATTAAGCTTAATTGTTTTTGACTTAATTGGCACACCGTTTTATGCAGAGTATAATATAAGTTCTTACAAATTTCATTAGGATGTGGTATTCACTTTTCTATAGGATTATGCATAAATACCAATTAGTGCGAGCGTTTCTAATATGACAGAATGGATCTCTGGATGATTTTCGCTTAACTATTTCATTTCAGATTATGAAAATGCGCAAGACGATAACGTCAGCTCAGTTACAAACAGAACTTGTAGAAATGCTTAAACCTATGTTTATCCCGAACCGTAAGCTGATTAAAGAGCAGATTGATTGGCTCATTGAAAATCGGTTCGCGTTTTCATGTTGTGAGATTTTTTTCAATGTGACTAAGATGGTACCCATTAATACCAATTTTTTCAGTTTCATCGAACGGAAAGACGATGACATCAATACGTTTGTATATGTTTCTTAGGTTTCCATTGATCCAATTAGTCGTTATATGACCCTTTTTTACTTGTTTCACCCTCATGTTTTAGATTTTTTGTGCTAATTTTGTTTCTCAGTGATTGAGATATCGTGGTTATTGGATCATTTTACATATAGCTTTTTGATTTGTTATAGGTCTTGTGTTAACATTTCTGTACGATTCTTTTCAATTAGATTAGAATCTTGGGGAGTCAAACAGTCGGGAGAAAACTCCGTGAACTAAGTCCATGATGCACTTCTTCACGTAGATGTTCCAATAGCTTTCGGCACTTTCTATGCAGAATCTAACATCCATTGTTGAAAGGTTATCTCCTTATCCTTCCATTATTTTAATTTTTCATATATTTTGGAGAGAAATTCTTCTTGGTCTTGATTACATGTTCTAATCTCAACAGTAGGAATCTCTAATTCACAATATTCTTCCCAGTGATTAACGTACTCATGCGATTCTATTCGAGTAGAAAACACGATGCAGTTGTTTTGACAAAGCTAATTCATTTTCTGCCTAAACTTCTGTGATGGGTATTACTATGCCAATATATTTGGATATTTGAACTTGCTAATTTAGTTGATTTTTTCTTGTATTTACAAGTGTGACTAGTCTGCTTTGTGTGGAATTCGTCATAATAGTCTGTAATAGTGAGAAGTTATTAAAAATCTGTTTAAACACAACATTCTTTGACTAAAGTCTGACGACGTGATTCTGGGCTATCGTGAATTTGTTGCAGGGGATTGCCAAGGATACGGCAGTAACTTCGTTTCATGCCTATTTGTTCCCGCTATGAATGCTGACTTATGTCAATATCTCAATCTCCAGATTTTAGTTGGGAAACTGCTGATTTCTTTTACTGAGTAGAATTGTTAGCGTCTCGAACTTCGTAACTAACAAATGTAGAAAAAACTGAAATACTGAGAATTGCAGGAAGACGTCATCGCAGACATGTACTGATTTGCTAAATTTTCTAACCCTCCTGAGATGCCATGGCTGGTTATATCGAGAGGTAGGTTCGAACCAACGATTATGTGTGTATCTTAGGATATTCCTAGCCATTGTATTACATGAGGTCTTCAAAATTTTATAAACAATATGAGGTAGAGACAGCATCCGACGTTATTAATCTTTGGCTTGTGCGCCGTGCATTCGACTTCGTAAGTCACTTCTCCAATGACTTGTGCTACCCTACCGATGAATCAAGTCAGTACTACCGTCTATCTTGGAATGTACGCTTCCAATTTGCCGACCTCGTGGAAATGGAAGACTTGGTGATTGGGGTCGAACCAGCAACCAATCCAGTGTGTAATGTGGGGTACCGTTAACAACTGAGCCACACCGGTCCCAGAAATGTACGCCTTTATAAGAAACGAATGTTTATACTATTGATTACGAGGAATTCCCAGTGAAATGGTTCGCTACCTGGCTTTATTTGTTTTGCGATTTAGTGCATTTTAATAGCTATGATTCATTCGTTGTTAGCTGTGATCCACCTTCTCGGATCTTTTCCATTTATGCTTCGTATCCCTACGCTGAACCACTACAGCAATTTTCTATGTGACCACTTTAGCGCGACGGGATCGAATAATTGGCGGTTTGCCAGTGAAGTTGGCGCGACTACGTCCCGTCATGCATATGCTAATTCGTAATTATATTCCCCTTGTCCCACAACAAACGTCGTTGGATCGTACCATATCCGGACCGTAGGTCGTCTATTATGCTAATTTGCACTCGAGGACAAATATGCGGTCGGACTGCATGGGATTATATCGGATTAGATGACTTGGACGTGCAATGCATCAAGTTTTCAGCCGGTTGCGAACTGTCAACGAGGTCACGATTCACTGGCAGTTCGTTTGAGTATCTTGGTATCCGCCACTTGCATAGTTTTTTTGTCTGTGCGATTTAAACGACACAAACCGGAATTACATGAGGTCTTCAAAATGATGGTCTGCGGAAAGGAAACGATGAGGGTCTGCGTCTATCACGCGGTGCTTCCTTGTTCAACAAATAGGTGAGAACTCGCCAGGGTTATGCTTGGAAGAGTCGTGAAAGCTTTGGATGAAATGGTTGGCAATCTTCAGTCTTTTTCGTCCATTAACGCCTTTTTGTATGTTCGGGACTGAATAGTTGCTTAAGTTGTAACGTGAAAATTTTCTTACTTGGATAATTGGATGGCCCATTTTCACTTGTTATGCGAACCCCAGCATAATTTCCTTTCTACGCAGATTTGCTGGCTCAGTCATTGTGGTTCCCTGGAGTCCCGAGAACAGCTTGGTCAAAGTCTGCCGCAGATCTTCACCACCACAAGCAGTGGCGGCCTTTCTTGATCAAAGGGAAATTTACCACCATGCGACTAGTTTGTTACCAGGATGGTGGTGGATCTTGGTATTGGTTTACTCTTAGCTGGGGTTTCTGATAGAAACGCCGGACTCAGCTTGCGGGACCTTACCAGGGCGATGAATCCCCCCCGCTGTACATCGCAGCCTCACACCCTGGATCACCTCCCAGCTACGATGAGGCGGTAAACCGTTAGAAGAAATGTAAAAACAAGTAAATAAAAGATAAAAACCTGTGCTTTAATTGCTAGCCAAGAGTATTCTACACTCATTGGAGTATGACATAAAGTGTTGTTATGCTTCGCTTTCATCGAGTTGAGAATGGGCTTAGATTTTATTGGAATCGAAACAGTTGCATAAAACGTGAGCAATGAGGGCCTCCTTGTCCTAGCAACTGAAGAGTTTTGATGATTAACAGAGCACCTTCAAAACCAGAATTCCATTGTTCTACAATGAAATCATCATCGACATGAATAGCACGACTTGAAAAATTGTTATGTTTTAAGACATTTTTGAAGAAGTGTAATAGATGGACGTGGAAGTCACTTACCAGCGACAGCTCCATATTCTCATCGCTAGCGGTGTTGTTCTTTAACACCAATAATTATACTAGTTAAATGAGCAGCCGACTTCGGTGGCCGGTATGGGAAGGTCACTTTATAGGTGAGCACAAGAAGTGCAGTATTCATTAAGCCATTACGACTGTACCGCTCTCTCTATAGTTGCAGATGTCTTCTCGATATCTAGAGTATTTTGGTAGTCGACACCTTCACAGGCTTGCAGAGGAGAGCTCCTGTCTGAAGTACCTCCACGAAGCGAAAGGAAAACGAAAAAGTATGTTTTGTAGATGCGTCGTTTTCTTTCTCAGCAATCGCCAGGTTATACAGCATACATTTACTTCCGTGTAGAAACATATACAGCAGTAGCGCCTTCTTCAGAGCCGTTTTCACTTGCCTTCCACTGAGGAAGGACCGCTAATTCGAATGGCATATGGTTGATGACTATGGATGATCTTGGGAGTAAACTTATGCTATATAACAACCTCGCGATTGCTGAGAAAGAAAACGACGCATTTGTAATCCAGTGCTGAGGTTAATAGAAAGACGATCCTGGGAACTGTTTATTGGTTCCATATGATCAGAATTCCGTATTGGTTGCATAGGAGGATTGATATGATTTTGAAAATGGTCTGCAGTTCCTATTGGTCTTCGTTTGGAAATAATGAAGGTCAATATGAGAAGAAAGATGTTACAGATACCAGCGTGTGCACAGGAAGGGTGCGGAGATAGGAGTCCCGGAACTTGGCGCGGCAAATGGCCATTTTTAATGGCTATGAGGCTGTAGGTTGGGATAGGTGTAGAGGAAGCCACAGCCCCACCCAGCGATAACTTTGGCGACAATAGGGTCCCTTTATACTGCCCTTCATTTCAAATGAAGTAAGTGCAGCTATAAAACGCTGTTTAAGAAGGGCCGGTCTAGAGAATTCGGTAACGATAATTGAAATGCCACCGAGTAATCTAAGACGCCAGCTAGTTCGTAACCTCCTTTACGACCGTCTATGTGCAACGCAAAATTGCATAATTTGCCCAATAGTAGAGACGGTGGTTGCATGAGTTCGGGTACAGTCCATCTGATCTTTTGTAAAGTGCGAGGAGACGAATACGTTGGCGAAACGGGTAGACCACTCTGCGTTTCGTATAAAAGAACACCTAGTCGGCAAACGTAGACCAAATGCTCCATTAGCCAAGGAAAGAACGCTGAGACATAACAGAGATGATTTTGAAGTAGGGGTTACGATGCTCGAACATGAATCGAGAACACAAACGTGCAAAGCTCTCGAGGCATTCTGGATTAATTCCAAGAATCCGGAAATGAACCGCATGGAGGAATGCCTCATTATCACCCGTATTATTGGGCGGTATATAATCCTGTTATTCTGATGAGATGGGCACATTACGATTCCATATAAAGTCTGTGCGGTTGGTCTCCACGTGACATATTTAGTGGAAGCCTCATCGAAAGCGGTGAGTGTGCAATTCCTCTGTGTTCAATGTGATTGCAATTTTGGTTCAGCATCTTCTCTGTTTGGTTATGGAGGTGTTTGACCGTGTAGATTGTGGTCAACTTGACCTTTCCAGGCTCTGAGGAAGGCGAAATCCACCGAAACGTCAGCTTGTGCGTAAATAAGGAAATAGAGTAACACCTTGTGTTTACTAAACAGAAATAGAAAGAATTATTCAATCAGTGCCGAGGTTAATAGAAAGTCGGTCGTTGGAGAAACATGTTAGTTTGTAGTTAGATGTATTTTCACATTGTGCGAGTCATATATGATTCATTCTGTCGTGAATGTGTTTAAAAAAGTAAAATTTGCTGGCCAGTGCTGGCAAGATCTGTGGACTAGACCACGCATTTTAAGGTGGCAAACCTTAACAATAGTACTAAGATAAAAACCGTTGCTATCTATTATGCTCCACCACAACTTATGGTATTACACTGAATAAAGCTTTTTTTGATCGGTTATGTGACAAGAATTTTTCTATTTAGTTAAAAGAGGACACTGAAAATTCATTTCTTGTCGTTATTCATAAGGATAAAGCAGTGCAAAATTTGTGAATATATGATTAAGAAACATGTTCTAAAGCCGAAAGATAAAATCTGGGAGGTTTTTTCAATAATCTACGTTGAACAATTATTAGTGTCCATCTGACTGTTTCGGGAAAATTGCGATCCACCATATTCTCTCCGACCAAGGTCGGTGACTCGTGAACATATATGGGAACTCTCTGGCACGGTGATCTCAATATCGTGGGAAAGGGGAGGAAGCTGAACTGAGTGAACAAGGAAAATTTCATTCAAATCGCGTTTGTGTTGAATGGTTACCCACTCACTCGCTTCCTGTCCTGCATTTCAGTCTTTTGCTTATTGCCAGAGATATTTCAGTGCTTATGAGCGCTGGAAGAGGTAATTTTTTAAATAGGAAGCTTTGATTTCTTTTCCCTCAATCGACAATTTTCACGTTTTCATCTATGCTGTAAGTGTTTGTTCCTCAATAGTGATGTGCACGTTGAAGGAGATAATTGTAGTTGACAATCAACTGGTTTCGTCGACCGTACAAGAATCGCGAGCGTTAATTTTCACTTTTGGTGAACGTGGGATTTTCATGGTTTAATTTCTAGTTTGATTTCATAAGAGGTCCTGAGACAGCTTCGATTTTCTGCTTGAAGAATTTTGCGGCCCCTCATTAGTCTTCCCATTTTTTAGGAGCGAAAAGATAAAAGTACTTGCGTTTAGAAGGAAACAAAGGATCTATTTATTGGTCGCTAATTTTCGTCCTTAGTCTAAGTATGGAATTTTGAATCGCTGAATGTAACAAACTGAAAATCACATACTTATTCAGACATCTAAGTGGTTTATGCTCGAAGGTACCGTAATCCGTAGCATAATTGAATCCGTGCTTTGACTTCAACGCATGTAATTTCTGGTTTTGTTTAGTGTAAAGTGCTTATTTTCACCCTTTGCATTCATTCGCTAGCTTGTCCAGCACGTGTTGTGCCAGACGTGGTACTTGAGAAGATATTCTCTGCACGTGATAATTTTCAGGAAATCCTTTCTAGATGAATTGAGTTCTCTAGACAATTCGCATGGTCTAATATTAGGCGCAGTCACGTATGTGTTTAATGTTACATCTTTGTTTAAACAAAGTTTTTCGGTTGCTTTAGAGATTGACGAGACAAGTAATTTACAGATCGCCAACATAGGTAGCCGCTGGCTTGGTGTGCGAATCGGCTGTTAAGGCTTATCGCTTATCGTCTTTGTTTTCTAAGCGATTACGACGCATTTTAGCATAGATTTCCTTTTGACTGGGTTTCGAAACTTAAATATTAACTCCAATCCTATCGATTAGAGCCGTCAGCAGTCACCCGTCAACGGGATTAATCTTTGGAGTGGAAATCGGCAATGAACCCAATTAAGCTGAGGCTGTAGTTGAAATCATAATGTTGTCTCGTTGACGGGTGACTGCTGACGGCACTGATCCATAACTAGCTGAGAGACAGGCGAAACGAAGGACCCGCATGGTGTGGTGGTGAACGAGTTAGTTCCCGGAAAGGGTGATAGCAAATTCGCTTCCCACCGCAGACACCTGCGGTCTGGAGTTTTGCAAACATCTCAACATCATTGTGGTTGGATTTGCCATAATACCGTGCCGTAAAATTGTAGTAGGCAGAAAATAAAAATAAACATCGTGGTTAACTTCAGTCTTAGGTTGGGGGAGCTTGCTAGGTGATGAACACTGATAAATTACAGTTCTTCACTGACAGTTTTCTGACTGTGACCGAACTATTAAAGTCTGGAAAAATAAAAGAGACCAAAATAGATGAGAATGAATCGCGTTCGACTTTGCGCATTTGCAATTTCTAAAATGGTGTTGGCAGACAGCAAAAAGTGATTCTATGATATAAACATCAAATGATACTGTTTAAAATCTTTATGGAAGGAAATAGTCTAGTTTTTCTTTTTTATTCGCTTTTCACTTCTACTTGAGGACTTTTGAGGTTTTTTGGAACATTTAGAGCAAAAAAACAATTTGCTAGGAAGCTTGTCATTTAACGATGAAGATATCTTCCCTCGTGGAAATTCTAAACCCCATACGATTTTCGCGGCGTCCCAGTTCCCCGAGAAACTCTGGGCGTATTGACATGCGACCGTAAGAAGGCATCACTAGATTGAAAACCACTACTTTTCCAAAATTTGCAAAAAATCCACGATTTCTAAAAAGAATTAGAAAGTGATGATTCGTCCACACGTACTTTTTTCATCCTTTGGTATTTATAGCTTCTTCCTCGGAGTCAACTAAAATGGCGATTAGGCTAAACCTTTCCGAAGGGCAGAAACGATAGAAACTCTTTATGAGCAAGAAACAAGAAGGAAAAATATCGACCACAACGGACAGTTTTCTTCTGTTATAAATGCAATGGCAAGAGATGAAACTGACAAAGGATTTGTGGCCTTAACGATAAGAAGATGCCGAAAACATAACAACTCATTTGAAGTTCGATATCTGCCATGAATAAAACCATAGTAGGAAAAGGTGAGGATGTAACCTTATAGATTGAATTTTTTAAAGCGGAAATCAAGTTTCCCAATCACAGAACTTATCAGAAGAGGAGAGAACATAAGAATATATAGCACCCAAATCGCCTTTTTTGAGAGTTATCAGTGCAATCAGGTCTGTCGATTTATTGATCAAAACAATAACATTTCAGTTCTTGAGCAATGAAATGCGCACTTAATGCGTAGGCGGGACCGAGTCTAAGGTACGGCAGGGTTTCCACGACTTCAAAGCCGTTGATTTTTGCTGCGGCTTTTTTCCTCTTTTCCTTTTCTTTTCTCGAGTGCCACTAACTTCAATGAGGATCTCTAGTGCAAGGTAGCGCTGGTATTCCTTAATTGTGTATTTGACAGCAATCTGATCGCCGTCTGCGAAACTGTTCATACAATTAGCCGAAATGTACTAGATTTTCTCTAACATGAGTGCATCCTGCAACAACGTATTCCATATCCATTGATTGATACCGTAATCCGATCTTAGAGGAGCGTGAAAAGTAACAATTACACCGATAATTAGAAATTTGAGTAACCACAGTACATGCAACAGTATAAAAGCTCCAAGAGATTTGAAGACGCGACAATAGCAACAAAAATAAACCCGCTTCGACGAAATTCCCTGGATTGTATGAGACTTTGAAGTGGATCCTAGCGACTACAGTAACCAAGCGAAGAGTGAGATGGTGAAGACAATTATGGTTACCGGAAAGCCAATAGAGTTGTGATGGAGTTCTTCGAGTAGGAAGTCCACAACACCATCGCCAGATTTCGCTACAACCACATTCCTCAGCGAACGACGACTGAAAAGAATCTCTTTTGTAGACAATACAAAATATATGAGCAAAAAAGGAATCCAAAAAGATTGACGAATGGCTAACACCTACAAAGGTTGCAATCCGTTCACACTAGCATTCTTGTCTCGTTTCTGACTTCACACTTTTCGTTCCCAACTTGCACAGAATATTTTACAGTTAATTTCTATATGAAGCGTCCGCTAAAACCTGGTCAATTATGCGAACCACTCTCTTACATCTCTTTCCGGACGAAAACAGTCACCACATCCAGGAGAATGGTGACGGAAGTCATCTGCTTCTTCTTGGACCACATCGACATGCATGTCCACTTGTCAGAGAAGAGAAGAGAAGAGGATTCCTTGTCAGTGAAGGTTAACATGTCACTGTAGAGCCCTTCCGTTCCGACTTTTGTTATGCAACATCGTCAATATCGGGAAGACCATGCTAGTGAACATGAAATCAAACATGCACGAAATTGGCAGATATCGTCCATTTTGTTTGGTGCCTGTCAATTACGAGTTCTTTACTTAACAAGCCTTCAGGAGCTGATCTGGACGAAGAAGAACCCTACGAGAAAGAAGGCTGAAGGGCTCGGCAGAATCGGTCATATCACATCGACGAGACTCCTTGAAATGTTGGCAAAGTGAAATGTGCTAATTAATCGTTATTCTCTAAGTTAAAAGAGGTCTTTGACTCAATGGAGATGACAGCCACAAAATAAGCTTTTGAGAACTTAAGTCTTCCCTGTTAAGTATGTAGATTCTTCATAAAGCAGCTTCAAAAACCCATTTCATACGAATATCGTTGTTAATGTGAAGACAGGACTCGATACAGAACGATTCTATTACCAAAGGCTTACCCTCGAAAACAACCACACTCGTCCGAATGGAAAACAGTGGAAAGCGAGTGAAAGCGGATAAATAGAAGATACAACACCTTTGTTTCGAGGGTATCTATGCAAAGCAAGCATGGGTGGAACGCTGGTTTCTTCAACGGCCTGTGTAAAAGCGCAGCTGTGCGGCAGAACTTGAGGATATGAACACCTCTAGAAGCTACACATAGGCTTATGCTAATTCGGAAGTCAAAGTCATAAACAGTTTATCTCCAGACTTGAGTAGTAAAAGAAACGAGAGGTAGGGTGACTGTGTAAGAATATGGTGATTATGAATACAGAAAACTGGAAGCGTTTGACTTTTCGGTGTCACTCCTACCATACTTCTACCTCAAACTATATCACAAAAATCTGCAGGCTAAGTAAGCGGAACAGGAATCCATTCAATGGAAATGAACGCGATATCGGGAGTGATGCTAAGAGTATCCTGTGTCATCTAGGTGTAAGATGGAATATAAAGGTACGTGTTGCGCCAGTAGGCGACGATGAGAAACGCGGCTACATTTGCTCAAAATCAAATAACCAGATCACATTGCACACGTAACAACTTCTTGAAGAGTACTGTCGACAAGTAGGTTCTGCTGAACCGTTCCAAACGCATCATATGAAAACCAACAAACGATTTGTCAAAGATGTTCTGCGAAAATGTCAACGTAAACTGTGATAGTCTTCCTATTCCTCGTGGCAACAGGATGGGAATGGGTGGTTCTGGCATATGACAAGGACTAATGAAGACTTAGCTGGTGTCATCGTGAACCAATCGTTGATCAACGGAAGGACGGCTGGCATAGTTGAATACTATAAATTGTGCAAAATAAGGCCAATGGAAGTAAAAGTTTAAAACATCAATGCGTATGCTGAAGCCAGTACCTGTACAATATGGATTCCAGTGATTTGGTTATTAAAAATCTAAAACTGCGCTAAAATTTAGACGTCAGTTTTAAGATGTAAAGTCTCCGTGTGTTGGAACGATTCTTTTGACGGAGATTAGATATAGGTTCGTTAGGAAAAAAGTCTCACTTTAGGAACGGAGTGTCAAGTTCCAATCTGACTGTGTCTCTTTTGCGACGCTTTTTGTGCTCCTTCTCGCAGTGAGTCATCCACACGTCGGCTATTACTCGCCATCCCTTGTCGGTCACTGAAGAGAACACGTGTTTAGGAAACTGTCAGGTATAACTCGAACAAGGCGAACGAATCGTGTTATCAGATCGTAATATCTTTTATCTCGATAGCTTAATATTTTATTGTGCTTCGGAAATTTTACTAAAAAAATTTTACTAAAAAAAGAAAAAAAAAAAAAAAAAATTTTAGTCCTGGATAAAAGACTTGCTCATGCAAGTAAGAAGGATAAAGTACGACGTCATCGCCCTGACCGAGACGAGGCGACGCCACCCATTCAACACCGTCAATGATAGCGGAGAAGAACTGTTCCTCGGAACATGCGAAAGTCGAGGAGTCGGCCGCTTCGGCGTTCTCATCAACACGAGTTTGTCCATAAATACTGATTTATTCGAACAATTTACAACCCGAATCGGACGTTTACGATTAAAGATTACTAAATGTCGAGCAGGTAGAGTTCGCTTCCTTTTCCATGTCAACCAAGCTGAACTGCTCGAAATTTGTATCCTAAAGCCCACTTAAGAAAAAACCTAAACCTATGCCACCGCATTTCTCTTGTGTCTCTCGAAGGAGCAGAGCCCGTAACACAATTGAGAGGAAATTTTAGTAGTAGCGAGTTAAACTGAGCGCTTAAGATGATTAACAAGGTTGTAGAAGATTCGGGTGAATGTTCTGAAAAATCTTCCTACTTTACTAACTCCTGTCATCGGTAGGTCCTTTCGTATATGCGACATGCGCATTCAGTTACCTCTATGAATGGGGTCAAATCCATGGCACTTCTCTGAGGGAATGATCGACGGGGAACTTTATGTTTAACTCTCTCGCTACTAGTCTAATGTTTCGCTTTTAAGATATAATATCTCTGTTAATTCTTTCAGAGTTATCTGACTGTTACAAAGAAACACAATCTGTACGAGTGGTACCGTCTGGAGCACGAATTAATTCGTCTTCTTCATCTAGATTTTTTCACCACCATGAATTCTTTAAATTCTTGTTTAACAATGTTGCATGGCTATGTTGAAGTGTCCTTACCGGTAAATCCGTAGCACTCCGCGTAGGGTAATTGTGCGACAGATTTCGCTTCGTAGTATGGCAAAGCTGATTCCTTATTCTCAATTGCTATACGTCCATCGTGTCCGATAAACACCTTTAAACTGTATGTGAAAAAGCCAACCGTTTTTGTTATTACGTGCCTTTTTAAGAGTAAAAGATTGAAAGACGTAAGCTTAAATAAAGTAGGGTTTAAATAAAGCTTTGCTTAAAACAGTACAACATGCCGAGATGTGCATGAAGAGTGCTAACAGCTTCTAGGAAATGACCACAGCTACTTTAACCCGCGTTGATATTGGTTTTTACGGCTAATTACTTTATAACTTCTGTCTAACCTGGTACCTTTGCAAGTAGTTACTCTATTTCTCTTATTCGTGGCACGTGTGGCGCAGTTGCCGGATGCGCCCTGCAGTACAGTACAGACGTGGAATCGATCCCCACGCGCATGGCCCACCAAGCCGTCCATTTCTCCGGGCTAGACAAATTGGTACTAGACCTATCTGGGAGGATGGCAGCACTGGATCGATACATCGGTAGGATCCCGCGAGTCATTTTAAAGGCCAAATATGCATCCAATCACCTCCAAACGATGCTTAATGAAGTTGAGTGCATGACGCATCCCTCAGGGATTGATCAACGCCTAGAGCTTTATCCTTTATTTACTCTTCTTCACAGTGAGAAAAAACGATGTATTGATAGATATATCAATGAAAAGCTATCTGGAACTGGAAGTTGGAGCGTATCAATACCATTTCATTGGGTTTCCCAGAAGATTTCATATCAATCTGCACCATTTTCTTTAAAAATTTCAACACCTTAATAAGGTATAACCTCAGTCGAAAAAAAACGTGCAAATAATATGTTAACACTGAGCTCCTTTTAAGAACGACTTCCTCGACGACGAACGAAAAAGTGGTCGATGTCACTGTTGAATAGGCCCTGATCATCAGTGGTCTCTATGTGATTCATGACAAAGACAATCGGAGCTAACAATGACCGGATTGGCGAGTTCGGAAAATACCTGCCGGTTGGAGTAAAACCTTCCGATAAGCAGAGCTAACATTCATTCAGAGCCCCATTACTGATGAGGAAGGATGTTATGTCTGCAGATTTTGTCTTCATATGGTATGACGTTATTAGGCGGCAGTGGCCTTCGTGGGAATCAAAACTTCTTCGAGCACAGACAAAGATGTGGTGGTTTGTGGAATATGACACGACTTCTTTTGTCGACTGTGAAAAAGAAAGATAAGGTGAGAAGAAAATTTTGTCGAGCAAATATTTCTGTAGCCGACACTGATCAGATCGTAGTTGATGAGTGATCGACAAGAGATTCAAAATGTTGTTTCAAGTTCGCGAGTGCCGACTTTCGGCATCATGTTGGGACTGTTCATCAGGGAAACGCCACTAACTGCTTTATGGTGATTCGTTTAGAAGGTGGTCCAACAGTATTCGAAATTTTGAGGTAACGGAAAGTCGTAGAGTAGTGAGTTACGTTGTACTCCATTGAAGCGTGTGTGTAACGTATCTGTGGCCACGCTTCCACTTTTAGTGGGAGTTTTTAATGAGAAAGAAAATAGTTGCCTCAACCTACGAGCTCTCAGCTAATGATAAGAGTTACATTCCATGCATCAAAAGCTGCGAGAACAGTCTGACGTATTTTGAGAAAAGTCCCGTGGATCGTTTCGTCTCAAATACTCATAAATATAGAACGTATTGCATGATGCTTTTTCTTATAATCTTTATTGAAGTTATTTATTGCTGCAAAATGTATTGGAACGCCCTGGCACATCAAGCTCAACCGGCATTCAATATGGTAATAAGGAGAGAGAATGACTGGTTTTCAAGCCGCAGCTAAGCAAACATATGAGCCTCGTTACTATGAATAGCGGCCGCAAGTGAATGATATGGTGTCGACAGTGGGTCCGTTCTAGTAAAGGTGTCGTATATGTGGGACAGCCAGCCGCATTTCTAATCTCCCAGAGATCACTGCCGTTGTTTCCCAGCATTCAACAAATTAACGGAAAGGTGAGCGAGATCTCTAAAACAGACCTTGAAATATTGGAACTAGAACTTCGAGAAGTAAGGTTGGCCCCCACACGTAGTTGAACACACTGAATTTAAGTGAATAACTCTTATGTATTAGTAAATATAGAGGGGGTGTGTAGCCTAGTTGTTAGCTGTGCATGCAATACACACCAAGTCATTCGCTCGTTCTCACGGATCGGCTCATTAAGCCCTTTTCTTCTGAAGTCGACAAAATGATATCGGACTTCTGTGCAGGGACAAAAACACTAGTTTGATATATCTCTAGGCCGCCGAAAGGTATTGTATAGACCCAATACACAATCAACCACTTCCACAATGACACGAATAGAATCAAATGCATGACCTGACTCTACGAGATTGATCAACATCAAATGCTTAATCTTTTTTCCTTTAAATGTAATACGAATAATTGGCATTGAAAAATGGATCATAAGTGTTGCGGGATCTTTCCATTTGTCCAAATAGCTTGTTGGAGAATCATAAGGCACACATGCACTCAGACTACTAGTCTTTAAATAGTTTTCCACAGTTTTAATCAATTGTTCCTGCATTTTAAAGAATATTTTTGAGGCTTTTTTCTACTGAACAGTCGTTTTAATCAGGATCGATCCCACCTATGTTGCATTTATTGTTGTTGCTGGGCACCTCCGACCACTGCGCCACACTCGCTCGCTTTTTGTATCAAAATAGATAAACCGAATAATATAATTGAAAAGAGGGCTTCTTACTTTGAGCGTGTTCTTAATCTCCGGCGATTCAATCTCCAGCACTTTATCCATTAGATAAATAACAAGACCAGTTCGATCGTCAAGTTCAATTTCGTTCTTGACAGCTTTCGAAAGAAAACGGACCTGAGAGATGTGATTGCAACAAAATGGTTTTAAAAAATGTTTTCAATACTTTCGGGTACTCTGAAGAAGTGCTAATCCCAATATTTCAAGATCTGTTCTACTAAATTTCTTGAGATCCCGCTCACCTTTCCGTCAATTTGTTGTGAGCTGGGAAACAACGGCGGTGATCTCTGGGAGATTAGAAATGCGGCTGGGTGTCCCACAAATACGGCACCTTTACTGGAACGCACCACTGCCGACAGCATTTCATTTGAGGTGGCGAACTCCACGACACGCCAAGACGACAACGAAAAGCCGACATCGTTCTGAACGTCGCAGAATTTTAAGCTTTGCTTAATTCGACAAAAAGAACTGATGAAAAATTTAATAGAGTGGATACTTGGAAGAAGTTTAGAGACATTCAACAGTGAAAATATCAACCGAAGAAATGAGAAGAAAACGTCGAAACAAATCCAAAAAATGTGCAGATTTGGATATTGTTGTTTAACTGGGAACCACAAAGATGCTGAGATTTTCATTATATTTTTTCTAAATGTTATATATTATCTATATTATTATATTGTATTATTATATTATATTATACTATATTATATTATTTCGAAACCGACGTTCCCTAAACCTCGGTGTGACTAATCAATATGTATTCTTTCTTGATGAGCTTACACGAGGTTGATAAATATATTTATTTTCGGCTAACGTTTCGACGTCTTCGTCTTCCTCAGAGCCGGTGATCCGAGTCGATGGTCCATGCTTGTTGTTCGCCTCGACGTTGCGTCTTCGCCTTCCTGTCGAGCCAGATCT